AATTTAGATAATTATTATATAGTTATTTTAATAATAATCTTTTTTATTAGAGTTATAATATCTTAATTTTCTTAACTTTAAATTAATTTTAATATTTAAAGATATAGTAATTATAGTCTTAATAATAGATTACGATATAAATTATTTAATTTTTAAAGATATTTCTTTATAGTCTTTAAGATAATAAAATCTTTTATAATATATTATAAATCTTTTAGATTTTTCTTAATTTCTTTAAAAGATAACTTTTTAATATAAGAGTTTTTTTAATATTAAAAATAATATTCAATTAATAAAGTCTAAATAGAAATCGATAAAGAATTAAATCTCTTATTATAAAGTATTTATATTACGCTATATATTATTATATCGATTAAAATTTTTATAAATATTAATTTATTTATTTATAATCTTATTAATAAACTAATATAAATTTATAAAATTTTAAAAATTTCTATATATAGTATATTATATAATTTTATCGTTAAGTTATAAAATTATATAAATTATTTTAAAGTTTTTAATAAGATAATAATCGCTATTAGCTCTAAATTTCTATTCTATTCTAAAAAATTGATTATTTTAAATAGAATTACTATTATTAATAAATAGAGATAGAATTAGAATTTTAATTAATTTTTCTTTTAAATATCTAGATATATATTTCTTCTCAATTAAAGATAATAGACTTATTTAAAGATATAATAATTTAATTTAATTTTTTATTAAAGTCTCTACTAGCGCGTTTCTTTAAGTTTATTTATTAATATAAATATAAATATTTTAAATAAGATAATTAGGATATTAAATTATATAAATAAAAGAAAGATATTAAATAATAGATAGATATCTCTATTAAGATACGCTAGGCTCGAATAGATTATATTAAGAATATAGAATACGCTCGTAGTAGATCGAGGTCGAAGTAAGATTTCGAATTAAGATTTCGAGTTTTCTTAAAACTCTAATCTCGCTTTAATTCGAAGTGAGATTTTAAAGTATATCTTATTAACTCGATAAACTTTAAGTATTTCTAAATAATCTCTCTAAGTTTTAATATTATATATTAAAACTAGAATAAAATAGAGTATAAAATATAATATTATAATTTAAATTAGAGTATAAAATATAATATTATAATTTAAATTAGAGTATAAAATATAGATATTTAAAAAGATATTTAGAATATATATAAAATTATATTTATAAGATATTAGAGAGATATTATAAGAATATTATAAAGATAATAAAGTATCTTTATTATCTTAATAGAAAAATTCTATCTTAATCTAATTCTATCTTATTAAAATCTCGATCTAAAGCGAGATAATATTAGATATTTAAAATCTCGCTTTACTTTATCTCGTTATATAGCGTAGCTTAATTTCGATATTAAATTCGAGATAATATTAAAGAATATATTCTTAGAATTCTTTCGTCGTAATTAAGATTCTAAACTTTAGAATTTTTTAATAATAGAATATATTCGATATCGAATATAGTATTCGAGTAATATAGAATAGTATTCGAAATTAAAAAGTTATAAGATCGATTTAAGATAGTCTCGAATATAAGTAATATATTCGATAAATTTAAAATCTCGAGCTAGTTTTTCGAATTATAAATATAGAATATATTAAATTTATTTTATTTTTAAAATAATATTAAAATTCTTAAATTTATAGAAAATATAAGACTTTTAAAACGTTAATTTAATTAATTAAGATAAAATTAATATAAAAAATTCGCTTAAAGATATTTAGATATTAGTATATATAATATAATAAGATAGAGTTAAATTAAAAAATCTTAAATTTATATATATAATTAATTATAAATTTAAAATTATTACGTCTTTTAACTAGACCGACTAAGTTAACTTACTAGCCCTCTCGAGCTCTCTTATTAAAAAAAATTAATATACGTTATTTACATATAAAATAACTTTTCTATTTTCTATTAAAATTTTAAGATTTTTTTTTTAAATTATAAAACGTAATATAGACTTTTAAAAAAAAATTATTAAATTTAATCTTATAAATACTTTAAGATAAAGAATTTAAATATCGCTTAGTAAAAAGTAATTTACTCTATTAAGAATATTCTTTTATATAAGCTTAGATAGTCGAGTAGTAATAATTTTAATAAAATTCGAAACTATTTCGCTACGTCCTCGGTTCGAATCTATAAATCTCCCTCGCTAAAGATTCGTAAAAATCGTAAAATCGTAAAATTCGTAAAATTCGTACTATTAATAAAAATTATAAAAATTATAAAATTAAAAATAATAATAATTAATATAAAAGAATTATTATTAAAATTAAAATTAACTTCTTATTAATTAAATTTATAATTAATTAATATTTTAGAAATCTATTATTACTATAATTTCTCTTTTTTCTATTAAAATTTTACTATATTTTTTTCTAAATTATAAAACATATTCTACGCTTTCTAATGATTTAAAGTTTTTAAAATTCGATCTTATAGTTCTAAGTAAATCTTAAATTAAGTTATTTTCACTCTTCGAGAATCGAATTTAATCTCGATATTAGAAAAAAAAAATTAATTACTTTTTATAAATTTAATTTATAGACTTAAACTTTTAAATAATAATATTTAAATAAGTATTAAAAAATAAAAAGTTATTAATTAATTTACTAGGTAGTTATTAAATAACTTTATTACTTAATTAATTAATACTATTTATAATAATCTTAATCTATATTAAATAATTAATTTCTATATATTTAAAGCGATTCTTTATACTCTTAATAAGAATATCGCTTAATTTAATAATTAAGTTTTTAATAAGTTTTTTAAAGTTAAGATTATTTATAATAATAGAAATTAAATTATTAATAAGAAAGATAGCTTTCTTCTATCTATTAAAATAATAAATATATTTTAAATAATCTCGCTTTTACTCTATTATATTATTTAAAGTTAAAATTAAATTATATAATAGTATTATTAAGATATTTAAAATATTTAATTATTATATTCTTAAAGATAAATATAATAATATTATATATTACGAGTAAATATCTATAAATTAAATTTATAATTATTTTTTTAATTAAAGCTATCGAGTAAATAGATAAGCGATCTATAATAAGCGAATATTAATAAGTAATATTTGAATTTCTTACGCTTTAATAATTAAAAGACTAAATTCAATAATTTTTTTTATTTAAAAGCCTATATTTCGTTTTATAATTTAAAAAAAAATTAAATTTTAATAGAAAATAAAAAAGTTATTCTAAAATTAAATAATATATATCTATTTTTTAATTAAGGCTATTCGGCTATCGAGCGAACTCTAATAAACGATATTTGAATTTCTTACGCTTTAATAATTATAAGATTAAATTTTAGAATTTTTTTTTTATTAAAAAGCGTAAGTTGCGTACTATAATTTAAAAAAAAATCTTAAAATTTTAATAGAAAATAGTAAAGTTATTAAAGGATTAAAAGTAGAGAAAGAGATTTTTAATAATTGCGAACGCTAATTTATTTATTCGTAATATCTAATTAAAAAGCGTAGATTTAACGAGTTTATAATTAACTATATATATAAATTTAAAATTTTATAGCTTAACTCTATCTTATTCTTTTATATATATTAATATATTATATATTTCTTTAACTTCGTCTAATTTAAACGATTTATATACTCTCTTTTAATATATTTAATTCTTAATTTAATTAATCTTTAATATAATAATTAATAAGTTCTAAAATTAATTATTATAGTAAATTAATCTATATCTATACTCTAAAATCTTTATTTATAATTAATAATATATAATTCTAAATCGAGTTATTAATAAGATCGATTTATTAATTATAATTTTAAACGATTTATTAAAAAGATAACTTACTCGATTAATAAGATATATTAAAAATAAGATTATTAAAGAAAAACTTCTTTTTTAAATAAGAATATAATTAATTAGCGATTTGTAATAATAGAAGTTATTAATTATTATATAGAAAGTAAATAGAGTTCGATTTAATTTAGAGTTAAAACTTTTTTCTTCTTTATTAATTTTATAATAATAAAAATAGATTAAGAATATATAGTAAGCGATTAGAGTTTAATTTAACTTAGAGCTAAAGCTAAAACTCGATTTAACTTAAAAAAATTTAACTTTATAATTTAAATTTATATAAATTCATTTAACTATCTTTTTAAATATAATAGATTACTATAATATTTTATTTATAATATATATCTAACTATTAAAAGTAATTAACTTTATTAATTAAAAAAGAATTAGAAGATTTTTTAAATTAATATTTTTTAAGTAATTATTAATATTTATATTAATAAAGCTACTATAGATAATTAAGCTAATAAATAATATACTATTTTCTCTTTCTTCTATTAAGAAAATCTACAATTTATAAAATAACTCTATTAAAATATTATTATTTTATTAATTAAGTTCAATCAGCTAGATCTCTTTACGATCATATCAGCAGCCATGAAAACCTCTAAGGATCATTCTCCGAGGAGCCTCAAGACTTTCACTGTGGCCATAAGAAAAGTAACCTTCCAGGCATCATTTGGGCGGACTTTGAAACGCATTCTGAGCTAAGGTGCGCCAATGCCGAAGCTTGGACTATAGCTAGATGAATTGGTGTCGCCGAAACGCGACCTCGTATGCTGAAAATTGCAGAAGGCCACCACGTCACTTCAATATGCGCCTCTGCAAGGTATAAAGAAAAGACTGGAACGTCCAGTCATGTTCAGCAATGCTATTTGTACTCTGAGCTGACTCTGCCACAAGCTCTAGAACCCTAATGCTGTGCGCTCTTTGTAGATCCTGGCCAAGGTGCATACTTGGCGACAAGATAGCACATGTTGTCGTACGCCCTATTCTCGTACTGTAATCAGCGCGAAGTTCGTCCTCTTCCACCACAGCGATTGCCAGTCGGAGCCGTCCAAATGCAGTCGTTCCTTCTGTCTTATTTCGAGGACGGGAATAGGCCACTCACATCTGCCGAACACTCCTCCCTTGAAGCATGTGGTTGACTGAGTAGACAACATCATAATATGTAGAATACAAACGATTGCGATCGTCCCATTCCTCTGCGGGTTCGCTCATGCCATAATTTCTCAGATACGTCTTAGTATAGATCTTCGAGTTCACCTTATTGTATGGACAACGCCAGTCCGCTATTTCCATCTCGTTGTGGGCATAGTAAGACCCGGCATCGAATAGGATGATGTCCCCTGTCTCATATGAGGTGCCGGTATTTCCTTCCCAGAGATCCGCATGAATCAAACACGGCTTGACGCTTCGACCTTCTGTTTCCAAAACTCCGACCAATCTGGGTATGACCTGAGAGACTATTCTCGCACCGGTCCTCTCGAGCTCTGGCCACGATCCGTTGGTCTTGAAGTCTTCGGCCATGACGTGTATCATAAACTTTGAAAAGAATGAGGTCCAGCTACTGTCCCATTCTGTAGCCTGCGGCGTTCGGCCATTACAGGTTCTTACATGGAATCCGAATTTCCCAGTGGGAGATACGCTTTTCCTGTGCAGCTCAGTTATAAGGGCGCAGAGACGGTCGGGATCCGGGACTTGGTTGCTCATTTCCGCGAACTCGCAGAGAAAGAAATAAGTTGCTGGAATCTCGGTCTGGAACTTCCCTCGCGCAAGCGGCTTCGGAATCCCCGCCGGTATGGTTTTGTAGAGCTCCATCATCGCCCAATATTCGCCTTCCATCATTGCGTGTCCAGCATCTTCTGTTGCGCATTTCAGGAAAAACTTCTTGACCGAACCATCGGCCAACTCGGTAGTGATACGAGCTGTGATGGTCCAAGCGGAAGACCCGTATCTATGGGCGGAAAGAACCCTGGCGCCTTCGGGGAGATGGGCTGTGACATTTTCGTCTACTGGAAAGTCCCCATCTATGGCAGAGGAAGCCCCTGGCTGTGGGCACTGAAGGAGAGTGTGCACAGTGCCGCTCATATCGATTGCGCGGTCGCAGTATGAATTGAGTACTCGGAAAAAAGAGATGGGTAAGATTTCAGGCGGAGTAACTGACATACATAGCTATAGTGGCTTGGTGATTCGATCCTTCTCGTTCCACTCGAGAGATCTGCACTGTCGCTGGGATTTTGCCGCCGGGATTGAGATATGAGCCAATTGTAATACCCCGTCCTGTTTGGTCACTGACTTTACATTGGACGAAAGCTCTCCCGTATGGGAGCTTCCCAATGGACCGCCCCCAATTTCTGGACAGACGGTCCAAGACGCTGGACGGAGTACGGCCCATAAATGGCTTTGGATTGGGCGATCCAGGCCCTTTGGATTGACAGTCCGGACTATTGGGAGCCTTGCCCTCATGCATATGTGATGCACGAGCAGTCAGACGAAATGAGAACCCCTATACTCCGTGGATCCTGCGCACGGTCTGGACTGGCCAGATAAGGAAGGTAAGATGCGACGATCTTACACAAAATCATTGTCTCCCAAACTTCGTTTGCCAGTTCCACAAGGAGCTGTCCACTCTGCCTTGAGATCCACTGTTCCCTTCGCTTGCGTAACCTCAATTTACAAGTCTGTGATACGATCTAATTGGCTGGATGATAGTCCTCAGGCAAGCAAAAACAATATCGTCCTCTAGTTACTTGTATACCTCCCATTCCATGATTTCCATCGGTTTAGAATGACGGCATGTGACAAGCCTCGGCTAGGTCCGTATGGGATTTGCGGAGCAACCTAATTCTAGACGCTGTAGCGTTGAATCTCTCATGCATCCCTTGGCCAATAATTTCATAACTTTCTAAAGCAACATACAAGTAAATTATGGCTGTGAAATCTTCGATCAACAGGCTTTTTCTTGTCCCATCCATTGCCCAAAGGTACGGCATTCATTCTACCCTTGAATGTACACCCAGCTGCCGAGGGTCCATGTACTAGTACAACAGTACAGTACGACATCTCTGCAGTGCGCCCAAATCGAGAAGCTGCAGCCTCGTCACTGCTTACTTGTGGACCAGCGCAATTAAAGGCGCTACGTATGCCGTGTTGGTCGGTCGTATTTGGCTGATCTTTGCCCCATTCAGATTCACATTCGGCCGGGCCACGAGCATTATCATCAGATATCACTTCCATGACTCGTGCCAGGGTTCAGATTTACCCCCACCCAACACCCCATCCCTGACCTCCATTATCTTGCTGCACTGATCGCCCGGAAGGATACAGGTGCAATTGTTCCGGGCTCGAAATGCTTGGCAAGCCAGCCACCGTTGCCGGGCTTCACTGCGGTTCACCAGCTCCACTGATACCATCAGTCTTCAACGACAAACATGCGACTCGATTCTGTTCGCATTTCATCATCTCAATTTGCGACTACATGGTTGCATTGTCGCCGCCTTGGGCCATTTGCTAATGGTTAGATGATGAATCGTGTGATACATGAGCCACAACAATGGTAATTCTCTCCCTGCCAATCTATCCCAACCTTTTTTGAAACGCTCATTGACTCCATGCCGCCAGTGGAAAAGAATCCGCTCCCATGTCTCGCCCAAAAATGAAGTACCGGAGTTCTTAGCCACATCCGCCGCGAATGCTCGTCGTCCTCTCGCAAACACCCCATCCGGCCCCCAAAGAGGGAGAACCCTTGCTGCAAACGATGCACAAGAAGCGGAGATGGCAACGCGAGGACCTAGTCCATTCTCATCCTACCACGTGGAGAGATCTGGCGCGGAGCAAGGGCCAACCGATGAGCTTGGGTTGCACGTGGTATATCGACCGTCATCACCCGCGCCGCTAGACATCATATTTGTTCATGGCCTCGGAGGCGCTAGTCACAGGACGTGGTCAAAAAATCAAGACCACAACCTCTTTTGGCCACAGCAATGGCTGCCGCTCGAGCCGGATATCTGTTCGGCAAGAATACTCACCTTCGGGTACAATGCGAAGTTCCGCTCGGGCGGCCCCCAAAATATGAACATAGCAGATTTTGCAAAGGATCTGTTGTATGAGATGAAATTCGGAAAGGATATAGATACGGAAGATCTTGGGATTGGGAATGTCCGTCCACACAATTCTCTTGATGGTTGACTCCGCTAAGGTCAACAGGTCCCGATAATATTTGTTGTTCATTCTATGGGGGGCTTAGTAGTCAAAAAGGTACGTACTGCCGAATACAGTACAATGAAGGCTGATTTATCAGGCCTATCTGCTCGGACAAAATGATGAGAACTATCGAGACGTTATTAGATCGATATCTGCAATAATGTTTCTCGCTACACCTCACCGGGGCACAGATCTAGCGGAGTTGCTCAACAGGATGCTGTTTGTCTCCTTTCAATCCCCGAAAGATTTCATCGTCGACTTGAGCAGGAGCTCTGCAGCGATCGAAGAAATTAATGAGGAGTTCCGCCATGTTGCGCCGAAAATCTCCATTTTCTCATTTTACGAAACACTGCCTACCCAAGTGGGTCCCAAGAAAGTGGTCTGTGGCAGAAATTAGTCTTTGAGTTGTCCGTCATCGATACTGACATCCCGATAGATGGTGCTTGGAAAGGAATCGTCGATACTTGGGTATCCTGGGGAGATCTCTAAATCTCTCAATGCGGATCACCATGATGTTTGCAAATATATCAATCAAGAGGACTCAAATTACGTGATTGTAAGAAATGCGCTGAAGACTTCGGTGGAAAGCCTTCAGTCAATAGGTATGCTCAAGTAATTTCAGTGATATTGGAATTTCGGCTAGTCTGTACTCACACACGTTACCAACGCCAGGCGTCGCCGAAAGGGAAAACCGTTCATCGAACGAAGCGAAACTGGTCGAGAAGCTCTTCACAACCAACCAAAGTCTAGAGGACGACTTCGCCTTCCTGCAACAACGCTGGATGCCAGGCACTTGCGGATGGATCTTGTCAGATCCGAAATTCAGAACGTGGCTAGAAAATGCGTCCGGGTCTTGTATTGCCTGGTTGAATGCACCTCCTGCAAGCGGAAAATCCGTACTTGCCACATATATCGTAAATTACGTGCGCGAATTGGGCCATTACTGTCAGTATTTCTTCATCAACTTTGGAGATCCCACCAAACGTTCGCCGGCAGCTCTTCTAAGATCTATTGGATTTCAGATGGCGGAAGGTATACCCGCATTCAGACGAGAAATGGTCAAGTTGTCACGTGAGGGAGTAACACTTGAGAAGAAGGATGCTCGTTTCACTTGGCACAAGATTTTCACCTCGGTCCTCTCCCAGATGGTCTTGCCTACACCTTTGTACTGGATCATAGATGCACTGGACGAGTCAGAGTCACCAAAAGTCCTGTTGGAACTACTACAAAGTCTCCCCACGTTCCGTACGCCTATCCATATCTTGATCACTAGCCGAAGAACTCAGTCATTGTCCCTTGCCTTCAATAGACTGTCCGTTTCTGTTCCTGTCGACACAGTTCAAAACGACTATCACGCCGATATCATGTCTGATATTCGAGTTTACGTCGAACACGAACTGAAATTTATGCGTGGCACGGAAGACCTAAAGTTGCAAGTGACAGAAAGCATCCTCCATCGTGCTGATGGCAATTTCCTTTGGGTACGCCTTGTGCTGGAGGAAATTCTTGGCTGTCATACACAGCAAGCTATCATGCAAACATTGGAAGAGGTACCTGCCGGAATGGGTGCTTTGTATCAACGCATGGAGCTCAGTATTTCAAACAATTCGAAGGAAGCAGATCGGGTCTTAGCAAAAACGCTGTTGAGGTGGATCGTCTGTGCACATCATCCACTGACGTTGAAAGAGCTTTCTCAAGCTTTAAGTCCAGAGTTTCCTGAGTTCTTAGACCTCAAAAGGACGATCCAAGATGTTTGCGGGCAATTCGTTGTCGTCGACCGCAGCTCACACGTCGCAATGGTTCACAAGACTGCGCGAGATTATTTGACTCAGACACCCAGCCTTTATTTCTTCATCGACGAGAAGAAGTCTCACGGGGAGCTTTTTGCTAAGACGATATCTTTCTTGCTTCGTCCTGAGTTACGTTCTAAACTTGGACGAAATCAACAAGTTGTCCGCTCCACGGAGCCGTTTTTACTCTATGCTGCAACGTCACTCACGCACCATCTTCGGCAAGCCGCCACCACTTCAGAAAGCATGATGAATCAGCTAGTAAAGTTTCTCAAAGGACCTTCTGTACTTACCTGGGTACATTCGCTAGCCTCGTTCAGTCAGCTGGAAGTGTTGGTAACCACTGCGCGGGTGCTGAGTTGGTTTAGTGGTCTGAATGGCAAGCTCAATACTGAGAAAAACCCATTACTCCACCGCCTACAAGACTTGGAATTGTTTGATTTGTGGGCTACTGACCTTGTGAAGATCGTGGCGAAGTTTGGGAGGCATCTACTCGATGATCCTACCGCAATATATAAGATCATTCCTCCACTATGTCCTCGAAACTCAATCATGTCTCGCCAGTTTGGAAGAACCGAAAGCTCAATACTTGCAATCTCTGGTATCTCGCATACAGCATGGAACGATTGTCTGGCGAGAGTATCTCTACAAAATGGTGCCAAGGCCTGGAAGATTACCTGCGCCGGTCGTTATATTGCGGTCCTAAGCTCTGTTGGGTCAATAGTGCTGTGGGATTCGGTCAGCTTCGAGGAGACCTGTACGTTGCGTCACGCAGAGCTTGTCACGAGAATGTCTTTCAATAGCACGTGCGATAGACTCGTCTCGTACGGCTTCCGAACTACTAAGATCTGGGCCATCCCCTCCGGTCAGCTTGTTGCCAAGGTGGCCAATCCGGCTGATAGCAAAGCGCTTGCGATAACATTTGCACCGAATGATACAATGATCTTGGTCGCATCAGATGACAAGGTCGTCAGGCATCTCTCTATCAATGCTGTCGGATTAGGTTGGCACAATCCAGAACCCGACCTATTAAGAGAGAATTCGGCGGTGGAGGGAGGTTTTATCACCTCTCCCTCCTTCATGGTTTTCAATGCGGACGCCACTCAAATTGCTGTAGCATACAGAGGCTATCCATTGTCAATTTGGGCTACAGATGTACCCCGATTACTTGGCAGATGTAAGCGAGTTGTCAAGGACCGAGCTAATCAAGCTCGTCCATCAGTCAGCTGGATGGCTGTTGATCGTATCGCTTGGAATCCTGTCGCAGACCAACTTGTTGGCCTGTACAAAGATGGCTGTGTCTTCAAATGGAGTCCAAGCAGTGACGAGTACCAAGAGGCGCACACGACGGCGGATGAAGTTCAGGTCAGCCCTGACGGCAAACTTTTCCTAACAAGCGACAGTAATGGTACAGTCAAAGTCTGGAACCTTGCCTACTTCGCTGCCATCTATCAACTCTCCTCGGAAAACCTCGTCATTGACCTGGCGTTCGGTCCCGATTGCAAGCGATTTTACGATCTCAGGGGTTCTTCTGTCAATGCCTGGGAACCTAATTGCCTCCTTCGTGTTTCTGATACTGAAGAGGCTGCTAGTGACACGGCGAGTGATTATCAAACATCCACTTCCATTTCTCACGTTTCTGAGGCCTGGGTTGTGTCGATCGATCCTATCAGCGCGCTTGCCGCCGCCCCTGGCAGCCAACTGTACTGCGTGAGCCACGAAAACGGCACCGTGCATCTATTCGACAAGACGAGAGGACACCTACTAATATTGTCAGAGTCTACCGGTTTCCTCACGACCGATCATCTGACCTGGGGTGAAGACGGAAGCCATGTAGCGGCAGCTGATCTTGGCGGAAACATCACAGTGAAGCGTCTGAATGCTCAGGCTGTTCATCCTGGAACCACAGAGTTCGAGGTGCAGTCCTTACTCGCCGCGAAGTCCAAACCGACGGTAGGGGGGATCCATCAGATCTTGTTGAATAGAGATTCCACAAAGCTTCTGATAGTCAGCCAAGATGCTGGTCAGATCTGGTCAGTTGAGACCGGAAGCGTGGCTTTCTCTGGTGTGCTCGAAAAGGGAGAAATCCGCAGATGGATGAACCTTCCGGGGCAGAGAAACCTTCTTCTAGGAGTAGGCCCTAGAAACTTGGAAATAGTCCAATGGGAAGACCTAGCAAAAGTAGCTTCTCTGAAATATCCGGAAGACAGGTTCCAATTCGGCGGTCGGTCGAGTTTTGATGCCGACGAAATTACAAACACATCTATGAAGCAGCTATCTTTGACTTCAAGCATTGGGCTGAAGGAGGAAGTCCACGTCGACAAGGCCATGCTCACGCAGGACGGCAAATATCTTCTCATTCAGTTGTGCAAGCTTGTCACTCAAGGGAGAAGCACGAAGCGCCTGGTGGCATTCGAAAATTCTTTGCTGGCGCGTTCGCATCACAACAAATTGCCCGCTTTACTCGATTGCCTCGATATTTCCAACGAGGTGATGACGAGGATAGAAGTCCCACTCGGTATCCTCCCTGGGCAGACACTCGTCTTTCTGGATAAAGACCTGTGGATGTGTACACTCAGAATGAACTCTATAACGCATACTAGCGATTTAAAACGTCATTATTTCGTGCCACGAGACTGGGCAAGTACTGAAAGCTTGGAGCAATGTTGTATGTTACAAGATGGGACTTTCCTCTGCCCCAAGGATGGCGAAGTTGCGGTCATTACAAGTAGTGTAGGAGTGACAAGCTGGTGATTGCCGCAGTAGACCATCTCATGGTGTATGCCACACTAGTGAGCCAACACCTGGCTTCGACAGTTGTATGTGGCATTGAGCAAACTTGCTATGCTTGCTTGCTGCGAATGCTAGACAAACTTGACGGAGCAGAAGTCCATCGAAATTCAGCAATCAAAGCCGTGCCTCGGCAGCCAATGGTACAGATGTTGCAGGTCTGAGAGACCTGGAAGCAAACCAACTTCTAGGCGGTAGAGTGAAATTCAGGACGCAAGCAAATCCAAAAGCGTCGACACTGGTGAATCCACCAGCCAGTAGTACATGAGAATGGCGAGCTAGCACGCGGTAGTCACACATAGACGTAAGGATGGTGTAAGACTTGCAATGCTTGAGTAGATAGAGATTTACATTTCCACAACTGCGGATAAGGACTGTGTCTGGTCTGCTATACCGCAAGGCCAGGTACCGTAGACCGCAACGCTTACAACAGCGTCAAGCAGAGTTGATGGAGTTATTGCGGACATGCCTCAACAATTGTTGTGATACGATAGACATTGCATGCACCGTCAAGCGTATCTGCATTATCTACCTAGAAACGGCCCAGTAATCGGTCTGCACTCTATCCAAGCTGCATCTAAGATGAAAAGCGTTGCTGGATGACGGTATTGATCTCTGCCTTCTCTATTTTCATGATTTCAACTCCAGACAATGTTGTCAGAGCCTCCGTCGAAGAGCAAGCCTCAAGCCTCACTCTCCAAGCTTCCAGAGCCCGCTCCTCCGAAGCCGACGTCCCTTTCCACAGATCCACCCAGCCCCCTGTACACAATCTTCACAGTACGGGAGAAGCGCCTTCTGACCTTGCTCCTCGGTCTCACCACGATAACATCCCCTTTGACGGCAACCATCTACTTTCCTCTCCTTCCTCTCCTCAGCACCCACTACCACGCCTCTCCTCAAGCAATCAATCTTACCATAACCATCTACATCATCTTTCAAGCCCTGTCCCCCGCCATCTTCGCCACCCTCTCCGACTCCCTCGGCCGCAGAATCGTATATCTTATTACTCTTACCCTCTACGTGCTGTCGAACTTGGGCCTCGCACTGGAGCATAACAGCTATGCCACCCTCGTGGTCCTGCGGGCCTTTCAAAGCCTCGGAGCCAGCGCCGCTTTCGCAGTCTCTTATGGCGTCGTTGCGGACGTGTGTGTCCCGGCGGAGCGGGGGAAAATGGTTGGGCCCGTAAGCATGGCCTTGAACCTGGGCACTTGTGTGGGGCCTATCGTTGGGGGTTGGGTTGCGTTCAAGTCGGGAGATTATAATTGGGTCTTCTGGTTCTTGGTTGTCATCGGCATAATACTGCTGGTAGCTGTGGGAGGACTTTTGCCTGAGACGGCGAGGACTGTGGTTGGGAATGGGAGTGTCAAGACCCAACGATGGTGGGAGAGGACTTGGCTGTCGTTTCTTCGGGACCGGAGTAAGAGGACGGGGGGAAATACAGCGAGGAGCGCAGGGAGAGAGGAGGACCCAAAACCAAGGATGTCGGATGGGAATTGCGGGGAGACTGCCCAAAGCAAGATTAACGCCGCCACCGAAGCAATGGCTAGGACCGGAAGGACGGTTAAAATGCTGAATCCACTGCCTTGTCTACGAGTAATTTTGTGGAAAGACGCGGCTCTTGTCTTGTGGATGCATGCGTCCTACTATATGGTCGATTACAGCATTCAGACATCTATCCCGTCATCGTTCAAAGACATCTACCATTTCAACGAACTTGAAATCGGGCTCGCATATCTCCCACGAGGCATCGGCATCATCTCTGGTGGCTATGTAAATGGCAAATTGATGGATCGAAACTATAGGACCTCAGCAAAAGAGATAGGACTCACGATTGACCGAGAGCGCGGTGACGATCTTCAGCAATTTCCGATTGAAAGGGCGAGGACAAGAGGGTCCTGGTATCTATTAGCGATCTTGACAGGCGCTTTGATTGGATATGGATGGGCCCTCGACCAACGTAGTCACGTGAGTATTCCTCTCCTGCTTCAGTTCATTCAAGGATTCCTTGGTACCTCTATCTATACCATTTTCAATACTCTTTTGGTGGATGTGTTTCCAGAGAGTCCTAGCACGGCCGCGGCAGCGGCCTCCATCTCTCGTTGTGCCCTGGCCGCCTCAGGCGTCGCGGCCGTTCAACCTCTCGTCGGTGTCTTAGGGAGGGGATGGTATTTCACGGCCTTGGCCGTGCTCACTGGTGGCGTTGGCTCCGTGGTGATTTGGCTGATACGGGAATGGGGAGCGAAGTGGAGGCACGAGAGGGTAGCGAAGACTACCAGAGCGTGCGGGAAGAACGATGCTGGAGAAGCGGGTCTGAAAGACCAGGCTAGACTACCCGGTGGGACCAGAGAGGAAAAGCTGTCAAAGGATGTGGCAGGTGCTGCGACTACTTCCTAATCACGACGAAGCTGCAAGGCATCGAGTCTCGGCTCAGAGCAGATTTGGAACATCATACCTCTCTGTTGGCCTTTTGAAGTCTAAGGTGCCGCCCAAGACTATGGCCTAATAGTTTGACCTGACCACAATAGTGAGAGCTCTGAGAAGTAGTACATGGGTTCCCACGACTGATCGAACGCAAGCCTCAACTCCTGCGAACTATCTTGAGAGTAGAACTCAACGACTTATGATTCAGATGTTGTTATTCACTTCTCATAACATAAAAACCCCACGAATTTACGTCCCTTTCCGCGGCGTTGGCTCGTGGTCATTTTCCCCGCAGCGGCTCGGGATTCAAGGGAAAGAATTGAAGAAGTAGGCGCACCGTTCCTCGCGTACCCACTCACTCGGCTTGCACGGACGTGGCCGGTTTCGCGAGTGAGCTAGCTGAGCGGCACGAGCAGGTGCATAGGCTCAGGTAAGCACGCCATTTGATTCAGCAGAAGCGACGGCCGTTGAGAGCACGCTCTGGCTCCGACTCCTGCTCAAGTACTCCTTCGTGAAAGCACGTGGGAACTGGAGCGATTTTTTGAAACGTTTCATGAGAGGAGGTAGTTTGCGCCTGCCTCCCCACCCACACTACATGGATATCACCGAGGCACATGCCGCCATTGGAGTAGTTCACATCGTACGCCTCTTCCACTTAGGAAATCACCATCAGAGTAAATCAAACCGTTTTTCTCTCCTCGCTCCTACTTCTGAACTTCAATCCCAAGCCTAAGGAAGAGGAGAAAGAGGTATAACGTTGAACAAGTCTGAATCGATCTGGTTGTTGGAAATACGAAAGATTCGTCCAGAAGTCGATATCAGGCCGATATACCGGAGGACGGGAGGCGCGCAGCGAATTGTGTGGGAGACCTCCTAGCTCTGGGCAAGTCCAGGTTCATTTGACGCTGGCCTACTTCCCCCCAGAAAAAAATTCTCTATTTTTTTCCATGTTCTTTTCCCCCTTTTTCCTTCCAGTGCGAACTATGGACATCCCAACATACGATTCTCGCTTACGTTACCGATCGAGCACAGGCGAGGGGATGATCATTGTACGAAAAGAAAGGTCTTGCGTAGTACCGAAGAATCAGCCGACAAATCAGCAACCTCCAGGTCTCTGCCCGTCCGGTAGACAATGAAGGCCAGATGGACAGATAGGCTCCGCAAAGACAGTTCCAAAATCCGTAGTTCCCCATCCTCCATACGTAAAAGTCCATTCCCGGTGGTATTCGTGCAGTCCTTCATGCCCCCATGCGACTCTGTGCCGTTGCCAATTTCGGCTCGCTCAAGCAGAGAGATGCACGGTTGGTAGTAGAGGAGATACGGCTCTCGGTTCGAAGCACGATCGACGCGGAAATTGGCCCATAGGGACACGAAGTTTCCCCAGTTGTCTTGGTAGATCTGCGCGCTGTAGTCCAAGCCTGGCCAACTCGGGCCCACCGCAATCGCTTTCGTGGGGGAGGCATCCGATGTCTGGAAATTGAGAGCGCAGGAATCCGTTACGGCGCGGTTCATTACGTCGAGTGTCATCATGGTTGGGCAACCGATGACGTCCGGTTGGGTGTGGCGGCCATCCGCCAAGGTGTAGGATATGAGTAAACAGAGGAGCGCGAGGACTGGGAGATACACGTTGAGAAATTTTGAGGGTTTGAGTGGACAAGTGAGGGAGCAGTGCATATACAGCGGAGAAGTTTGAAGGGATTGAGTCGAAAAGGAAGACCAATTGAAGAGAGCCGTGCAGATGCCATGGTACTATAGAAAAGACCCACCTACCAACATCTGAGGCTTTTGTTATAAGGGAAGCTGTTCATCAATGTAAAACTCATTAATGTAATCGAAGTACATATATGGCTTACAAGAATTGTTGGAAGAGGTGTGGAAGCTCGCCACAGCTTGACTGGGGGCTAGTGAGGGAGAGGCACAGCACACACTTATGGCAGGTTAGTGCTCGCAAATAGTAAGGCCATATAGAAATTATATATGCATAAGTAGATATATAGATATATAATTAGGTATATCTAGACCGAGGTAGCTAAGACTTTTCTAGGTATTTAATAATCTAGAAAAACTCTTTAACGCTAGAAAAACTTCTATATCTAAGCGATATACCTTAGAGTAAAAATAAGGCTATATGTAGATATAAATAAGTAGAAGAATAAAAATATAGCTCTAAAAGAGAATAATTCGAATAAAGAGCTTATTATTAATATAGTAGCTATATAAATAATACTCGTTATATTTATCTATCTCTCGTATATCGTATATTATATAATAATATCGTATATTATATAATAATAGAATAGTTAATTAAATAGTTACTAACGCTATAGTCTTATAATAAACTTATTAATCTATAGTCTTATTATTACGATTAATACTTATAAATAGTAAAATTATATAAAAATTATATATATATAAGTAGATATATAGATATATAATTAGATATATTTAGATTAAGATAGTTAAGACTTTTCTAGATATCTAATAATCTAGAAAAGCCTCTTAGCGCTAGAAAAACTTTTAAAATCTAAGATATCGTTTAAAAAGAACGAAGATCTCGAAGATAATTTTTAATAATATTTATTATAGTAAGTAGTAGAGACTAATAGTATTAACGCGAATAGATTAAAAGATATTAATATTATAATAATACTTTAAGTATATAGATTAAGTAAGTAATAATATATAGATAATAGAAATCTAACTTCTAACGATCTAGTAATTAAATCTTATTATTATTAAGATTAATATTATATATTAATATTATAATCTTTTTATAAAAGAAATAATCTAAATAATAACTCTTAATATTAAATAATATTAATATCTTATAAAGATTACTAATAACGATTTTTCTAATAAAAAAGAAGTCTTTTAATTAAAATAGCGATATATTAGATAAGACTTTTTATCTAAAAAAATAATATAAAACTTTAACTACGTACGCGTTATTATCTAATATAATTATTATAAGTATAATCTTATAATAAAATAGATTTATTTTAGATATTAGAAGTATAAATTCTAGATAATTATTAAATAGTCTTATCGAGCGATATATAAGAAATTATTCGTCGAAGTTTTTTTATTAAAGATCTCGCTTATTATAAATAAATTTATTTATATATAGAAATATCGCGAAGATAAGATAAAAGAAGATATATAGAGTCGTCTTAATATAGATTAATTTATTAAAATAAGAAAGAATTTAAAATAATAGATTCTTAATAATAAAACGTTTTTTTTTATATTAGCTTCGCTATAAAGATATTAACTATTTATAATAATATATTATAATTAAAAGTAATAAAATATTAGAAAATTATTAAATTTTATATTTATATAGATTAATCTAAGATCGATAAGATATATCTTTATAGACTTTAATTTAACGCGATAAGTATTTAAATTAATAATTTAGCTAATAAAAGTATTTATAATTATTAAAAAGAGAGATTAGATCTCTATAAGTATATAATAAATTATATAAAATCTTATTAAAGTTATATATATCTTTTTAATTTTAATAATAAATCTTTATTAGAGAAATTATATAATCTCTTAAAATAATATAATCTAATTATATTAATATTCTAATAAATTTCACTCTATTTTAATAGAGATATAAGATCTTTTAGCTATAAATATATATTAGCGATTTTTTAATATTAAAAATATAATAGATTATTAACTAGCTAATTAGCCTTTATAGATATCTAAATAAATATTATTATAATATTATAAATAGTTATTAATATAATTATATCGTATAATAAGATTATAACTAGTTTATATATTAAGAATTTATATAATTTATTAACGTATATATTATTATCGTAATAGAGAATTAAGCGAGATTTTTATAATTAATATAGCTATAGCTTTATTATATAATAAATAATCTTTATTTCTTTAAATTATATATTTTTAAAATAATAATATATAATTATTTTTATATTAAAAATCTTTTTAAATTAAATTAATTAAATATAGTTAAAATAGTTAAGAATATAATCTCTTATATTAAATTTTCTAAATATATTAATTTATATATATTATATAACTTAACTATTAATATAGCATATTAAGATAACGCTATTTTAATACTTTAGAAAGATATCTTATTATAATAAATCTATTCTTATATTATCTATAATTTATATAATTATTATAAATCTTCGAAGAATATTGAAAAGTTATTTTAAGAATATTCTTTTTAGAATTATAACTTTAATAGCGAAAGAGAGAAAATTAATCGTTAACTCGAGCTTTTAATATAAGATAATTACTCTTTTTAGAAGATTTTTAATTATAATTTTTATTTTAGCTAGCTTATTTAAGAGAAGTCTTATCTATATATAAATACTATCGAATTTAATTTCTAAAAATTTAATTATAAAATCTATAATATTCTTTATATAATTAATTTAAAGACTTAATTCGCTATATAGCTAGTCGAACTATTAAATATATATAATTACGTTATTATTTAATAAAAGAATTATAAAAAAATCGTCTAAATAATAGAGTATTACTTTCTATAGAAAGATCGCGATTAAGATCTAAATAAAGACTTTTATAAAGAGATTAAATAGAAATAATAATATATATAATTTAAATAATAGATATTATTCTTTTTAATAGTATTTATTATAATTAAAATTAAGTAGTTATTAATTTAATATAGCGATAAATATATATCTAAAAGTATCTTTAAGATCTCTTTTAATAAATTAAGCCCTTAGATCTTTCTATAATAATATTATTACTATATTATTATATATAATATATTCTAATATATCTTACTTTATCTAAATATTATTATTAACTAAATAATTATATAAAAATAAGAAATTATAAATTCGTTTTTAATCTCTATTATATTTCGATATTAAATCGAATAGCGAATAGATATAATAGAACTCTTTTTAAAAGTTAATCTCGATTAGACGATATTATTAAAGTTATTTTTAAAGATTCGTCGATAGTATTTAAATACTTAATATATTAATAGATAATTTTAATTATAATAGATTAGAATATAATCTTAAAAATCTATCTTAACGCTCTTTTAAAGAATAGTTAAAATAGTCTTAATAAATATTAAATCTAAGTAATTATTTAACTATTTAAATTAATTATTAATTATTAATAATTCTTAATAAGATAAATTCGAGTTTAATAGATTATATAGCGTATATAGAAATCTCTTAAATATATATTATAGTAATTATAATATCTATAGATATTCTAAAAGTTATTCTATTTTAATAATATAATTATCTAATAGTAATTAATTAGAGCTACTTATAACTAGATTTTAAATCTTAAAATACTTATTTAATAAATAATTTTATTAATAGATTATATAGATATATAAGTAGATATAACGCTCGCGATTATAGATACCTCTATTAAAATCTCTATAAATTTTATTTTCTTTAATTTTAACGAGTTTATTAGAGTTAAGCGTATTAATATTTAGCTTACTATTATTCGTATAAGATTCTTTAAATATAAAAAGATCTTTATAGCTCTAATCGTTTATTTCTTAAATCTTAAAATTATCTTAGCTATTCTAGATATATATAATAATAAAGATAGAGTAATAAATAAGAATAAAATTGAATTTATAGATATTAAATAGTTATAATAAATAAATAATATACGTATAAAGAATCTTATTTAAGTCTTTTTTTATATCTATATATATAAAGTAACTAGCGACTATCGAGTATATATAAAAATAATATATTATATAATTATAGCTATTAATATTCTTATTCTTTTTAATTAAGATAATATATATATAAATTAATCTAGTAAAGTTTTTAATCTTAAAAATCTCGAAAAAGATTTACTTAAAATACTTAATAATTATATTTTAAAATCTTTTAATAATACTAAAAAAGGGTTTCTTATCTTCGAAGTAACGAAAGAGAATTTCTCTTCTTTCTTCTTAGTTCGATTTAGAGTCGAATAAATCTAAATTCGATATATTCGAGTAATGATAATAATATCTATAATTATAGTAGTAACGATAGTAGTAATATAGCTTATAAATTCGATTCTCGTAATAATAACGATAATTTCGCTTCTCTTAGATCTTAAATAACTAGACTATTAATTTTTAAAGATCTACTTTAATAATAGATGAAGGTATTTCCTCGATCTCGTTCGGGCTAATAATTCTCGATAATATTTTATATATGAGGATCTTCTCGTAAGAGAGAGATATTTTAGTTTTAATAATCTTAAAGATCTTAAAGATCTTATTAATCGCGTTAAAGGTCTTTTTAATAATTTTAAAGACGAGTATAGCTTATTTAGTCGCTTTCTTAAATCTAATAATAGTAGCGAAAGCTATTATAAAGTATATAAGAGTATAAAGTATAATTATAATAATTAAATAAAGATTAATATATATAGACTTAACTACAAAAGAAGAATAATAATATAGCTCTAAAAGAGAATAATTTAAATAAAAAGTCTATTATTAATATAGTAATTATATAAATAATACTCGTTAT